ACATTCATTTGCTTCACAACTCACAGTAGGTCATGAAGAACCCATGGAGTCGCTCTACAAGATTCCGGAACATGAATACATGCAACTTACTGCATTAGGTAGACAAAAGCAGCTGACAGAACCAGAAAAAGACCTCAAGGAGATAGTAATAAAAAGCCAAATGTTCCTAAACACAGCAGAGGCACTTTTCAAGCTCAACATACCAATCAACTTTCTTCATGATAGCGATCTCAATGATGAAGTTGCAGACAAGAAGCTCATATTGGACTGTGGATATGAAGTTATAAAAAGAAAAGCAAGGAGATATGAAGTCACACTTCACCCCTACATTAAAACTACCGTAACTTGTACCAAGGTAAGGTCCTTAGATGATTTGGTAAAGCAACTTTGCAGAGACTTTGAGACACTGAAGTCCTACGGAGGAAATGATAGTGATCAAAGTGATGTAGCAGACAGCTTATGCAAAATGCTCGACAATGACATTAATAATAAGGATCCAGATGTGAACAGCATGTGGGATTTTGAATGGAACAAAATGAAGTGTGTGTTCCCTGAAAAGGAAGATGTCATAAGAGATGTGGAGAAACACATGCTCAATGGATTGCTCGAAGAGATCACCAACGATCTCTTACTTGTAACTGTTTCCATTTGATTGTTTAAATCAAATTGTTTGTGCAGCTTATACAGAATCAGATTGATTTATGAACCATAATAGAAGTACTGAGAGTGATGTGAATTGAGTGTTACTATAGGGTGACCTATATAGAAGAACAATGTGGATTTTCTGAGAAACTCAACAATTTTTTTTAGTTTTGTTACCGATGATATATAATTTATTACTAAATATTATGTGGCATTTCAAGCTTAAGTATGTTGGCGAGTTTCATCAATGAAAAGGGATGCAATTTATCTATAGGTATACCTATTCACTAATTGCATCTAATCTACTAGCTGACCGCCTTAGTCATTGTTACACATACACGTGAAGAAATAGAAAATATAAGGCTGAATGTATAAAGTAAAATAGACATACACACAGAGTCAAACACGCGCATACATACAGGAAAACAATCAAATAATGCGAGAAGATTTTGAGACCAAATTGCACATGTAAATTGCTCTATCAAAATGTGTATATCGATCAATGTAACTTTCTTATATAGTTTAGCTTTCATACTATAGTATTATTAGTCCTTAATTAATTAGTTAGTTAATATCATGTGATATGCTTGTATACTTTAGTCTCACATACATCAAATACAGACCAAATCTTTCTCAAAAGGAAAAAAATACTCCTTTCGTCCCATTTATTTTCTTCACTTTGCTATAATACTTGGTTAAACTTTTCAATCTTTTAAGTGACTTATCATCTTAAATTATTCACATTTGTGATATATTAAACATTTTAAATAGTAATATTATATATGATATTATATAATATTATCAACTTATTAGTGAAATACATTAATTAAATTATTTATTACAATTTTTTTAAATTTAATCAAGTTGATCAGTTGACCGTACAAAGGTAGCAAAATAAATGGGACGGAGGAAGTTAATAAAAACTCGAGTACCAAATCCACGGTGGGCGAATAAAAGAATAAGATAATTAAATGAAAATTAAAATAAGATACTGAAATTGGAAATAGTAATTCAAATAGTGGTACTGGTTTCTTCTGCTATTATGGTAATGCCCTTCTAATGAGTTTGTCTTATAAAAGTGGTAACTTTGTTCATATTCACTTCATTATCATTTTAAAAGATACACGGTTTGAAAAAAATTCAATTTTGACATTTTCAGGTGATAGAATACCGAAATTATAAACCAGAAAGTGAGGAAGACTATGATAATATGTACAACAGAAGGATGGAATATTTAGAAGGTGAAGATGGGGAGCTTTCTTGGTTCAATGCTGGGGTTAGAGTTGGTGTTGGAATAGGCCTCGGTGTTTGCGTTGGGCTTGGTATTGGAGTCGGTTTGTTGGTCCGTACTTACCAGACCACCACCCGAACCTTTAAAAGGCGCCTTCTATAAATAGGTGAGTAACCGCGTCATCTTTGTATCGTCCCAGTTATGAGATAGTAAAAGTCATTAGGATAGTTGGTCAAAATTTTATTAGTGTTCACACTTTTAACTTGGCTTCTTATAAAATTGTGAGAAAATTGACAGATACTTAATGGCACAATGAACTGTTTTGTGTTTTCTTTATTCTGGGATGCATTTTGTTGTTTAAAAGAGAGATGGTGATGGAAAATAGTTGTGTCTAGTGCAAAATATGTATATCACTCTGCAAATAACATGTTTTTTCTTTCATCTTAGCAAGACATTGTGGAATCCTAGAATGATGGCTGTTGTTTGACCTTTTTTTTTTTTTTTTTTTTTTGAGAAAATGGCTGTTGTTTAACACTTTTTGACTCTCTTTTCTTTTCTTGACATATTTAAGCCAAAAATCAAATAACTCATTCATTAAAGGTTGGTTTGATTTTCAGCTAAAATGATCTCTCATTTATTGAGGTATTTAATCTTCAGTCATGTGTGTTTATGTATGTATGTATATATATACTATAATATAATTATTCAAGTTCATTTTTCTGTCTTATTTAAGTTTGCTCAAGCTTAATTTGTTTGATAAACGAATGAAATTCAAACAATATCAAGTTTAAGAAAAGTTAAACAAAATTCGAATAATGTTGTTTTATTTAAATTGACTCGTGAGTTCTGGTTAATTGAACTGTAATCCATTCTAATAAAGTACATTACTACATGTAAATTGTTAAATTTGAATAGTTTCTTTTCACGTAAATTTCTCTTTAGCTTTTCTTCTTTTAATTGTTCAAACGATATTTTAATAAATTCTAAAATAAATCATTTGCATATTCCTCATTAAAATTTAAATTAAATTGAAAACATTTTCTAGTCGTATCCTAACTAAAGAAATTTTCTAATGAAAGTTCAAATAACCTAAACTGGTTATTTTTAGTAGAGAAACAGGTACTAAATTTTTAAAGTCCCATGCATGCGTTTAAGGATAACCTAAGTTTCATCTCCAATTAACTTCTGCTACATCCTCTATATATCTGTACTTTCAATTTTTATTTTCTTTTTGTGATGTTTAATTCAAAACTCAATTTCTTTAAAATCATTTTACGTAAAGTAATAATTTGACTTCAACCATTAAAGAGATAATGTAAAAATACTGTATTTAAAGTTTCAAAATTTTAAACTTTTAAATAAATTTTTGTCTCAAAAGTAAAAGGAGCAAAATTAATGAATTCCGAAAAGTATAATTTAGTCCACCACAAGTTTATCAAGAAAAACTTCAGTTCGAGTTCACTTTCATTATACTAAATTATTTACAAAATACGTGTAAACACATGCAAATTTTTGTCATTAATTATAATTGAGTGAATATTATTAAAATCAACTCTCAATTGTCACGAGGAAATACATTTCAGCCAAGCATCAAATCGGAGTGTTATTTTGCTCTCTCCTAGCTCTGTGGAGGTAGCAAAATTATTAGGGGAAAGGAAATTCTTTTACTGTTTAGTGGCGGTTGGGGTTAGAATTCGGTTTTAGGTAAGTTTTAATTTGGCTTGAGTTTCATTTTAGTTAGGCCTACAATTAAATATAAGTTATTCAGTTTAAGGATAATAAGTTTCATGTTTCATTTAATTTCATGAATTTTATTTAAGTTTACTTTAAATAAATATAAATATAAATTAATTTAAACTTAAATAATCTATATAAAAGTGATTACCAATTTGACACCGTGTGGTGAAGGAAAAGACTTTTGTTGTAGTTTCACAACATTGTAGCAATGAGTATTTGATATCCTAATTCTATATCAAATTTTAAGATATTTTCACATAAGTGTAATTAGACTTAGACATAGGAAGTGGGAGTTTTGAGGTATTAATTGATGCATTGCATGAGGATGAGGATCTCAGGGCTCTTACGAATGGATTGATGGAGTGATACGGGCCTAGCAGCGGCCCAATTACATTTGGCCCAAAATTTAAGTGAACTTAGAGGTCGGATGAGATTGAAACCCAAGGGACACTTTTTCAGGGCAGCAGCAACCTGGGTTCATCTGACTAGTAGAATTTGAACTCTTTTAGGCCCGATAAATTTACGATTAAGATTGTCAATTGAGGAAGGAGGGAGTATATGAGGCCCGATGGAGTCAGTATGAATGTAGTTAAATGTGACTTGTACTAAATTTGAACTGTTTATATATTTATGACCTGAATTTGAGCTCAACAAGACTATACCTAAATAAACCCTACATATTAATATGGACAGATAGGCGATATGTGTTGAGAGTTTGTCTCGGTTATTGTTTGATCCAATATTGATCGGAATCGAATCGAATCTCTTTAGAAAGAAGATCTTTTGTCTCTAGCTTCGCTTTTGAATGTGCTATGATATTACGTTCCCTAGGCTGACCCGTATGAGAGAACTAATCCTGCAGCGATTAGTTTGAATAAAGGTTCTTTTTTCCTCTCTCAAATACACATGTTGATGTTGACCCGTTAGGACCATTCAAAGCTTATTAATCGTGGAAAATATATCTTTTATTTTTATATGAGGTTTATATATCCATTGTATGTTACGTACCAGTATTCATTTTCATGTGAGAGTTTTAAATAGATATAAACATGAAGTTGAAAATAATAATATGTGAGTCGTTTGAGCCGAACATGACCAAAAATCTTATGAAGCTAACTTGAATCACTCCAAGTCTGGCTCATAGTACCCAATTGACACCAAAATATCAAATAGCATATATTGTTTATATGAAACTCGGTTGGAGCTCGAATCGTATTTGTTCGGTGAAAACTTGTCCAAGATCAAATCATTTAACAATCAAACAGGATGTGACTGATGATTCAATAAAAATGATCTCTTAACTAAAGGATAGTAACAATGTAGTAAGATTACGAGCAAGGACAGTATAAACAAGTACATTACTTATTTTCCACAATTATACACAGAATAAGGAATCCAGGTGGACTCGAACCACCAACCTCTCAGCGCACCAACGCAGCCGAGCGCTCTCCCTTTGTTGAGCTATGGATCCATCCAACGAGCATATAGGGCATACACAATAACCGGTTATTATATAGATAAACATGAACATATATTCTTCCCTAAAGAAACCAATCGATGCATACATTGGAATGAATAAACAAAAATGTATTACTAACAGATGTCAGGATAAGAACAACTTTATCCAATATAATGTTCATCTCAAAAAACCTATTACATAAAATTGTATAAATTTTTCATTGATTATGAAATTTAGAAACGAATTAAAAACTTTATGGTACTTTAATTTCTTTAAATAGAAAGTTCAAAGTGTTGTATATTTTCAGCAAAATAGTTATCAAAATTAATGGAGTTCCACAGAACACTACTTAAGTTAGAATATAGTAAAGAAAAATAAAGAAAAAAGAAAAAAAACAGTGTGTAGAACCATGTCCAACACGACTATGTAACTAGAGCAAATATTTAAGCATATAAAATTTCTAGTGTGACAACTACCGATATTAAGGGTTAAATGAATTTACAAAGATGAACTGGGCACATGAAACAGTAATATTAATCCAACTCAAACATAATCAATCAAGTGTGCAACCAAATGCAACAAATAATTAAACTAAAGGGGCAATGAATCTAGAAATTCCTTAATCAGTAATTAACAATCTCAATTGCTAAAGAAAGAATTCATCACCACCTGAGCCTCTGAATTCAAACCCAGAATACAATACCTTGTTGCAGGAGCCTCCAAATTTAAATCCATAGTACCTCCTCCCTCTTGCAACAACCCTCACGGTTTGTCTATTGAAAGCTACAGATCAAGACATTAGAGCTCTTTAATTGCCTCAACTCCAGGCTGATCCCAACAAAGAGATCAAAATCACTTCAAGTTGACTTCCAGCACGAATTATACAGATCGTAGTATCCATCTGAGCTTTGTAAGAACCAAAGTAACGATTCATATCAATAAATCAAAATATAGGATTAATACATATAAAAGAATTGCAGCTATACAGAAAAAAGTAGATTAAAAAATATTCACCAGCCAAGTGCTACAACACTCCAATCGGCATCAACACAACAAGTGCATAAGCCAACTGAAAGTTCAGAAAGTTTGATTTCAACTACACGGAACTCAGCTAAAATAACCAATCAAGATTAAGTTGAATCAAGGAAAATGGCCTTCCACCGGCAATGGAGATAGAAATATAACATCCCAATGTTGAAATGCAGAGCAAAGCAGGAAGTTGTTCAATAAAAATCTGCTTCTCAAAGCAGCAGCAGCATTTGCAGCCATACATGCAGATATCTCGATTAAGATTAAAGCCACGCATAAGAAGCCACCAACAAAGCGGCCAGAATGTCCAAGTGATGCACCATGTAATGCAACAGCAGGAGCACGATCATGGTTCAATTCAATAACCGAATAAACTGGATAACTCAACAAAATTGCAGATCTATTACAACAAACATGCTACTGCCATCAAACATATCACACAAGATATGAAGGCTTCTAAACCAGTAAATTTTTTACATCAAGACGGACTATAAAATTCCAATGAAATAGACTACTTTAATAACAAACTCTAGAATAAAAAATGATAAGAACACTTGCAAATGATCAAAATCAACTGACATGTGAAACGAAAAAATGAAAATACGAAAAGAACAGTATATGCAATTATATGTCTTAGCCACATCATTGCTATGCGAATATATTTATAGAATGGAATCTCATAACCATTTGAAAACTAAGACTTCCTCGTAAATTCATAGATTCAATTGAGAAAATGGATAATTTGAGAGGAACGATTAGATTCTTATAACTATATGGAAGATTCGGAGTCAGCATTTGAGAAATTGAACATTGGTTTAGCTTCCAAGTAATTTAGATTTCATCACTAGTACATAATTTCAGATTATAAGAAATTCTAAAAAAATTATAATGACTTACTTTGGTTGTATTACAATTAGATGAATATGGATTAGATGTTGTATCCGAATTTGATAAAGGGAACAGTAATCGAACTTCCAAGCAACATATATTATGTTCTTACTAGATAAATTTAGATTAGATGTCATGAATTGGGAAATTAAATAGCTGATAAACTGAGAAGTGCTCATTAATACCTCTGGTATAGCTGATGTTTCAGAAGCCCTATCCATTGTATTTTAATAGTTCGCAACTTTATAGAGAATGGTTGGCATGCTTTGCCTTGTATGGGTCGTGTAATTGCCATATATCACAACTGCAATGACCACTCTCCATTCAATAAGAAGCAGATGACAGACGCTGAACTTGAAGAGATTCTGACTGAAAGAAGTTTGAGGCTAGAGAGAGGAGATACCGAAAATGGAGAAAGGACACCACACGATAGAACTAAGGAATTGATATAAACTTCCGTGAAATATCTCATTTATGTTCTTAATAAACGAGCATATAGATTAAATGTCAAAATCTAAGAGATCTGATATTCAATGAATAAAATATAATAAGTAGGAATAGTTTGTACCTTTGTAGTAGATGCTTCAGAAGAACGAACCATTGGAGTTGCTTGAAACAAATTTATTTGCAAGTAACTGGCAGTGTCTGACCTTAAACTGATTGTGGGGTTACTTATGTATATTTTTGTATTGATCAAAATCCAGTCAACAGATAAAATCTGATCGAACCCAGTTTCAGATAGTGCAGGTTGAGATTACCAGGGGGGGGGGCAACGACACCACACACAGAGGGGAGAGCCAGGCAAATCCCTGTACCTTCTCCCCTCATACAAAAAAATAGAACTTTTATTAAGCAGTTGACCTGCCATGCGAGCGCACCCATCATGGCAAAGGTCAGGAAGACAACCACATCATCCTCATCTATCTATCCTCCTCACCTCTCTTTTTTTACATAATAATCTACAATCTTTTCACTCTCTTTTCATAAATAACTCTATCCTAAAAAATGGAGACACTTACAAAATGCAAATGAATTACGCAATAACATATAATAAATCACCACCATTTCGTTTGAAATTATTCAAACTATCAAAACCTTGTGTCAAGCAGGTATATTTACGATCTCTTCATAACTTCGTATTCCAGGAAACGAATCAGTTTCCGTGTGTAAGGAGCATCGAATCGAGATTGATTAAGCAGTCCTGATTTAGAAATCCTGGCTGACCGAGTGCTAATCCGCACCTATAGGATTAAATACAATAATTAAATCGGCATAGAATAAACTAGAAATTCAGTGAATCGAGAAAAAAAATATCAATACACAATAAAGGTTAGATCGAAATTAAAACTCACATAACAGGCTCGGTGGAAAGAACAATCAAATCGAATTACAACTTAAACCAAATATCAAGAGCAAGGGCATCAATTTACCTTCATCGATCTTATGAATACTGCAATGGATCTAAACAAAAACGAGGGAGCGAGAAAAACAGGTGCCGAGCGAAACAGTTGAAAGCCATGATCAAAACGTAGATCAGCTCCCGATCTACAAGAATCTGGAGGCAGAATCCCTGAAGGATAAACAACGTAGAGAAGATCTGAATAAGAAGTAGAGCTCGGCAAGCTGATTGAGATGGAAGCACATCCTCCTCGTGAGGGATATATATACTTGGGCCATGAGGTGATCCAACGGCTGAAAATGAGTAATTGGGAGTGATATACTTGGGCGTCAATAATAAGGCGGTTGACTAAGAGAATAGTAGCATATGAGGTTGGGCGGAATAATCGGACGGTTGTGATTGGTCCTTTAGTTTTGTGGGTTCTGGATGAGCTGTTTTGACGGGGATCCAAAAAATCCGGGCAGGCGATGCCCTGTTTTAAATCCAACATGCTACTTGTGGGTGTATTTTGGCCCGGTTTCTCGGGTTTCGCGAGATCGAACTAAAACCCTTTCAAATGAGATTTCACCAAATCAATAAAATAATCAAAAATTCATATTCAAACTCTTCAAACATATAAACCATTGATTTGACACCTACCACCTACTTTTTCTCCCAAATTTCACTAAAAAAGACATTGATTTGACACCTACCACCTACTTTTTCCCCTAAACCCTAACATCCAAACTCAATCCAAGTGGGGTTTCAACTTATTCAAACCACAAAACCCAACAGTCAAAACTCATCCAAATGATGTCTCAAGGGTTTCATCGAAACCACCCAAACCATTTTTTTTAAACCGAGACCCGCGAAATCGAGCTAAAACCCATCCAAATAGACCCTTAATTATCATATCAAAAAAATTAAGATAAAATACTTTTAAATGCTTATCTATAAATATAAATAAAATAAAATAAAATGCTACGGTACTCTTATTATTTTGAGGCGAGTCCACTCAAAATAATTTGGTGGTTCATTACCCTCCCGTTGCGAGGATTTGTACAAGAAAACAAGTTACATGCAGTGAAAAATAAAAATTGTGTCTTCCTCGTAGCAATTTTGTCAGAATAAGGTACATTCAAATTACTAAAACATGTATAAATGTAATTCTACAATATCACGTTATACCTAATTCCTTGCTATCCAGGTAAATCTATCGATGCTAACACCAGTTATATGTTGTAACAATTTCTTAGTTTATAATTATGAAGTTTTTACTAGGACTAGGATATGATGAGTTGATGACAATGTGAGTTTGAATGGAGAAAGCTCAACTAGTATATACATATGAAAGAAAGTTATTTAAAAGGTATTATTGAAACAGTGCTAACAAATTGTACAAGGAATTACAAGCTCAAAACAATTACATTAGTTGTTGTCAAAATAGTTGTTCCAATCCAACAACCTCGACACACCGGCTTCTCATTGACCAAACTATCCACGCAAGTTTCTGACTTTGACCTGTTCAGACCCACCATGATCTAACTAACAAATGCAAAATATATTAAGTATTGGGACTTTGAATAAATACAAGAGTATAATTAAAATAATTTTTAACAATAAAAACAATAATAAAGATTTCATTGCTATATAAAAATGTAATAACGATGTATTTTAAATTTTCTATGTAACAGGTGATGAACCGAGTAATCGACCAGGTCCACAAGACTCGATTTGGTTTAATGGGTCAACAGAGGAATTGGAGGATATCAGGAATTATGAAAAGAATATTTTCGAACTGGGCTTTGTGGTTCAAATTGGGGAATTGGTTTGAATTGGGCTTTATGGATTTTAGAGAAGAGATAGATGGACTTCATGAGCTTTATGAAATTAACTCATCAAGGATTCGCGCACTCAATTGGGTTATAATAAGTAAGAGTGAACCAATTTTCCCAAAATTTCAACCAATAAGCACACAAATTAATTTAATTTAATATAATAAATATAGATATACTAATATTTAACTTGAAACGACATGTTAAAAATAAACTTCCACACACGATAAGAAAAGGGAATTAGTTTTGATTAAACAAATTATCAGACAGTGAAAACACATTTATTATATTGGACACAACGATCTCTACATTATTAAGCGAGCTATAACATAAAATGGACCCAGGCGGACTCGAACCACCAACCTCTCAACGCGCCAAGGCGGCTGAGCGCTCTCCCAAATTTGAGCTTATGGATCCTTCCAGCACATCACAAAATAAATAATTAATTCCATTTTTTTCTTTCTCGAAAAAGAATTTAGTATAAAGACGTGTTTTAGATTTTAACAAGTGACATATACATATCCCCTTCTTAATTTTTCAAAATAATTAAAAAATCCCTTTTTAATAAGAAAACTAAACAATATTACTTTTGCTTTACTTTACTCCAACTTTAATTTGAAAATCTTTTATCCTCCTGCTCCCCTCTCCATAATCAGTTTAAATTTAAAAAACTACCAAATTTCATAAAACACCAAAATTTCTTAAAACTAAAATGACATTTTCAAACATACAAATACAAAAATTGAAACATCTCAAGAAGTTCTCCAATCTATACCTTAAGGAAAAATCAAAACGTAACAAACAAGCCTGTTTCATTCTGTATCAGAAAGATCAATTTTCCAATTCAAAGTCAAATCTATTAAGAGGAATAAAAAACCCAAGAAATCCTTAATAATGGGAATTTAATCACCTTTGGTCAATTTTATATCAAACCAATCAATTTCAAAATATTTTTTTTAGTTCAATGTTTAAGATTTACAATGAACCAAATTTTCCAAGTTCCAACCTGATAAAGTGTTTTTCATATATGAAGAAATAAAACTAGATAACTTCTCTGAAAATATTATTTTTATTTTATATTCTTAAAGTTCACATATTGGTCTTAGCAACAATAGATAAGTAATGAACAAAAGGTAAATAACGAACGGTTGAACTACCATGTAACAAGAGCCGCACATAATAGACCGAACCTTGATTTTGGTTCATTTTACTAGTACCATCTCTTATTATATAGTACCCACATTCTTAAAAGGAACATAAATCTTAAAAAAAAAATGATAACAAAAGAAAACATCCCTGCTTATATACCTCTTGCACCCATCCATCCGCATCTCAATATACTACTCCAAGCTGAACGCAACAAAGCGACCAAACATGACATCCAGCATTACTTAAATAGCTCAAAATATCCATCTGAGTTTGCAAAGTCGAATAAAAGAAATTATGTCAATAATTCACTTTCCATGATTAATGCACTATAAAATGAATCATTGAATTGCAGCCATTAAATAGCCAAAATAATATATAAAATGCCCAAGAACTCTAAATAGCTGCAAGACTGTATTCCAGGAAAAAAAAAAGACAATGCAATTGAACAAAAGCTGCACAATGTGCCCAACTCCTACAACATGTGCAAAACTTTACCAAGGCACTCCTCCAAAGAGCCGACACCAGGACCCAACTCAATCATGGAACTAGAAAATCAGGCGACATTAGATACCAAAATTGAGATGTAGGCCGCTGCACAGTAGCAACAAAGTCAGCAACTGATGGCATATATATAGATGCCACAACGGGAGCAGATGCAGAAACAACAAAGATTAAGTATATAGCAGAAACTCTGGAACATGGCAGCGGGCATATTCACCAGTAACTTCAACATCACACATGAGCAGGCAGCAACGAACATAAACAACAGAGATGAAGTATATAGCAGAAACTGTGGAACATGGCAGCGGGCATATTCACCAGTAACTTCAACATCACACATGAGCAGGCAGCAACGAACATAAACCAGAGCTTCCATGAGTAAAGAGCATTCTTCGAAGTCCCATTGCAGTTGCAACAATCAGCAAGATATGTACCCACTGAATAAACTGAATAATTCAACTGAACTGCGGATCTATTACATCTTCTATACATAAATAATATATATAATCTGAAAGTCTCTACACCATAATACATAAACAAAGATTAACAGTTCCCAATAATCAGAGGCAACTGTTCACAATAAATAGAAACTGATAGAAACATTTACATTGTGATAATTGGCAAATGTGATAACTGATGCAATAAGATTAAATAGAGAGAAGAATGAATCACTTCCACATCAAATGTAATAACTAATGCAATAAGATAAAATAGACTGAATAGCTGAAGGACGGAAGCACTTTTAAATAAAGACTTCATTCGAAGATCACATGGTTATGCAATTAGATTTGATGATGATATTTTGCAGTAACATAGTGAGCTGTAATGAAGTCTTATTATCACCTGCATCTACTATAATTAAAATGTTCAATATGCCTTAAATGAAGAGTTGGGATTCTTCCAAGTATTATTTACAACTATTACCAGATGAAGTAAAATTAAATGCCAAAATTTGAGATATTGAAAATCAATTTTGTTTAAAACCATTTTTTAAATCGGTTGTATCTTGAAAGATGACAGTAAGATGCCAATAATGATTATCAATTTTGACAAGTAACATTGAATATCAATTAGACCAAGGCTAGTCCTACTTGCTTGTTAAAAATAAATTACATTCATACTTGGGAGAGTAATGATTAGATGTCAAAATTAGTGAGTGAAAATCAAAATAGCTATGAAAGAAATTATCAAAATATTGTAATTTCAGTTGGGGGAAAGATGCCTGAATTTGTGTGAGTGAATATTTAACTAGCTATTTAAATACACAGGGAAATGTTAATTAATACCTCTGGAGTAATTGAGGCTTCAGAAATCCTTCATTTGCTTGCTCACAACTTTCTAGCAGATAATTGGCATAATTATTCATAGAGTGGGTTGTGACTTTGGCATTTAACATAATCCTGAAAGAACCGTTTCCATTCTCTAACAAACATCATAGCTTTGAACTTGAATTGGATTGAATCATGGGGATAGTAAAAAAGACACCATATAAGAGGGCATGTAAACTTAGATATTTTAGATTATCAAGCAGATCAAATGCAAGTTTAAGAAACTATATATTTTAATAGTAAAATAAGTTGAGTTGTTAGTACCTGTGGCGTGGATGATGCTTCGCATGACCAAAACATTAGAATTTGACCTTTTTTTGCAAGTAATTGGATCACTGTCTTTAAATGGATTGTGCTATTTCTTTTATAAATTACACACAAACCATTCAAGACCACCGATTGATGAAATTGATTGCTGGACGCATTGATCATGATGGCAGATTATAGGAAGGGGGAGAAAAGAGAAGGATAAAAAACGACACCAGACACCACACACGGAGGGGAGAGCCAGGCAAATCCCTGTACCTTCTCCCCTCAAAAACAAAAAATATTTTTTTTTATTGAGCAGGTGACCTGCCATGAGAGCGCACCCGTCATGGCAAAGATCAGGTAGACAACTATATCACTCTCCTCACATCTCTTTTTTTACAATATCTACAATTCTCTCTCTTTTCTTTCACATCCTCACCAATTATTTCGCTCACAAAATTTAACATGAATCATGCGATAATAAATAATAAACCACAATTATTTCATTCGAAATTATTTAAACCATCAGAACCTTGTGTCCATGCAAGCAGAGCAACTGCAATCTCTCGAGAAACTCTATACCACAGCAGACGAATTGGTTCTCGTGCAAGTACACCGACTGGAAATTGGATTCCAGCAATCCAGCTCAAAAAAATTCTGAGCTCCTCATCTGCAGCTTGATACCTTTCTAGATCTGAGAATGGCGAAATTAAAAATAAGTACACGAAACGACTTTTAGACTAGGAAATTTGGAAATAAGCAGCATAAGATTAGGATTATATATGATTCTTAATCGATACTCACACAGGCGCTAACTGATTTACATCAAACAGAACAAGCAATGATTTACATACTCAAATCCAATGTCTAATTGAACAAAACATTAAACAGTTAGAGCAGATGAGTTAATTACCTTCGTCGATCTGTGAGTAACGCAGCGAATCTAACCAAGTCCCGTCGATCCGAGGACAGGAATCCAAATACGCCGACGAGCAAGCAAGAAAACAGCTGCTCATCGAATCTGTTGAAGGCCATAACCAAAACGTAGATCTGCTTCCGATCCACACGAATTTGAACGAAGAATTAGTGAGTTCAAAATAACGCAGACAGGATCTGAGGAAGAAGGGGAGCTCAAAGGGGTGGCTGGAAATTATATGAAAGAAAAGATAGCTGATGAGGGGTATTTATTTAGGGTATGAGGTGATCCAACGGCTGGAAATGACTAGTTGGGTGAATTTTCAACGGCTGGATACGCGTGAATGACGTGGCGTCTGACTAAGGGATAAGTATATAATGTTGGGCGGTTTAATCGAACGGTTGTGATTGATTGTCGTGTCGGGAAGGTTCTGGATGAGCTGTTTTGACGGGGATGGGAATTTGGGACAGGCGGTGCAACGTGTTTCAACTTGCTACGCATCCTTTGTCGATATTTTCGCTATTTACAGTTTGGACCCTATCTTTCGATGGAATTTATGTCCGACTCTTCAACTATTTTAAAAGACAAAGACCAACAAATCGCAATTTTAGGGTTGAGAATATTAAGAATCATTCTAGTTTTACACCAAACTCTCCCCAGATCTAGTAGTTGCTACAACATTTGTGGAATGAAATTTTCTTCTACTATGAAGTATATCAAAAATTAACTGAAGAATTAGATGGAAAATGAATGGTTAAATGAGTTGATCGCTAAATGACTATTTGAAAAAATATATATTTGATACTGTTTCAAATGACCTAATCATGAATCGATTGAACATTTCAATCCATGACAAACAGACATAAACACTTAAAAATTATTTTTACATCTAATTTTATTCCATGTTCATTGTTGTTGATATTTTTAAGTAATTATTTTTTATTAATATTTAAAAATTATTATAGCCTTTGATTTTATAATGATACCGTTAAGATATTTTTCCGGCTATGACACTATCAAATAAAATAAATTGAATATGAACATTATAAGTAATAAAAATAGTCATCCGCAAAATTTTGATTAAAGTCCTACCTACGAATAATTTTATATGACACCAATTAATTATAGGGGTACAAACGAGTCAAATAGTGTTGAATTATAGATTTTTCAAATTTGGTTTGAGTTTTGTATCAAGTTTGAACTTGTGTTTTGAGTTTAGTTTTCAAGTACAGGTTCTTAAAAAGCCCGGACATTCAGAAGATAAGAGACGGGTA